CAAGCACTCAGTACCCTAAACCTAACCCTAACCCTAACCCTAACCCAAACCCCTAAACCTAATCCTAACCCTTCCCTTAATTGAAATCGGCTTTCTGCCGCGGCGCCGTTTTAAAGCACCCTTCTGTTGCCGCGCTGTTGTCGCGGCGGTGATGACGCGCGGTGATGACGTCGCAGCTTTAGCGCCGCGATTTTATCACCGCTATTTTGATGAGCGCGGTTTTGTCATGCCACGGGGAAAGGAGCCTACCGGAAGTTCGGGAAGGCCGGAAATAGGCCCGTTTCTGACCTCCAGAGGGCCTCTGGAGCCTGGGGAGGCTATTTTCGCCCTCCTGGAGGCTCGAGGAAAGCCTCCGGAGCCTAGGGAGGGCAAAAAGGCCCCCTACCATGGTGCAGAAAGCCAACTAGGCCACGCCTACCATGGCCACACCCACCTACCAACCAGGCAGAGAACCCCATGCTAAAATTTTTGAAGCCCACCCGTGTTCAAAGGGTTCTTGTAATGGACCATTTCTGAGAGTTTTTTTACGATTGAGAAAAAAGAGCAACAGGATGCTGAGTTTAACATGGAGAGGTTTTTAAGAGTTTGTTTATTGCTTTTAGAATTTTTATTAACAGTGGAAAGTTTTCCTTATTGGCCTCTAAAGAAAGTTAAAATGAAGAAAGGCAAGACTTTCAAGCAGTTTTTTGGCTGCAGCCCCATATTATGGGATAGTCTTAATCTGGAGATTAGGCTAGAGTCCTCATTGCTCACTTGAGGAAATTATTTAAAATAGAGCTGCTCCAGAAGGAATCGGGGGAATAAATGTCACAACTATGCTTATTGTATTAAGGTAAGCTATTTGTATATGGAATGAAAGCAATTGGTTGTTACGTTTTTATTACATTTGTATGGTATAAACTGTCAGGAGCCTTTTAATTCTGACAATTTATAAACAATGAGTGAATGATCCTCTTATCTAAAAGAATGAAATACTTCTTTTTTACTTTAAAAAAAGGCATGAAAAGCTATGGCTTTTTGGTCAGCCAGATAATATTCAACAGAAGAGGATACAGTGGCTTTTCTATATAATTCTGCACACCCTTTCAAATTGTTCATTTAAATCCCACTATAATTACCACTATAATGATAGGCTTGTGGAACAATGGCCAAAAAGGAAGGGTGTTATTTAAAAGCATGGTGAGATATATAATGACATCTGAAAGCTTGGTGTCCTAATTTGCCAGTTCATGTCTAATTGAATTGTTTTACACCCTCTATATATCACTTGCATCTAGTGATTTTTTCCCCTTTATACTGAAGACATGAATGATGAAATTTACTTTAAAGAAATAACCCCACATCAGGGGTGGGTTCCGGCAGACACTACTGCCGGTTCGCTCATTCGAGTGATGTTGAGTTGACCACGCCCACCCCAGTCACACACACACACACACAAGGTTAAACACAACCCTGATGCATCCCTCAATGAAATTGAGTTTGACACCCCTGCCTTACAAGAAAGGAAAAGAAAATTATCAAATCAGCTTCAGTTTCAGCTTCTTATACAAATGTTCAGAAAACAAGCATAAGTAGTCCTTGACTTATGACCACAATTTCTCTTGCCTAAAGAGCCTAAAATTTCTGTTGCTAAGTGAGACAGTTAAGTGAATTTTGACTTATTTTACAAGCTTTCATGTCACTGTTAAGTGAATCACTGCAGTTGTGAAATTAATAGCATGGTTATTTAGTGAATCTGGCTTCCCCGTTGACTTTGCTTGTCAGAAGGTCACAAAAGGTGATCACATGACCCTGGGACACTGCAAGGGTCTTAAATATGAATCAATTGCCAAGCATCTGAATTTTGATCATGTGACCATAGGGTTTCTGCAATGGTCATAAGTTTGAAAAACAGTCGTAAGTCTCATTTATCAGTGCTGTTGTAACTTTGAAAGGTCACTGAATGAACTGTTATAAGTTGAGGACTATCTGTACTGTAGTATTAAACACTGTTTTCGTATTGGAGTTATCAGTTTTTTAAGAATGAGAACCCTATTTCCAATGCAAGAGTTCTACATACTTGTGTAGTATAATTACAGTATTGCTGTACTGCTTTGCATAATATCATTTATACCTATCGTTTACCTAATGAAACTCTTTTTCTAAGTATCCAAGTGGTAGAATTATATATGGCACAGCTCTACTGGAAAAAAAATACTAGTTACCTGACCATAATGAAGCTTTTATTTAGTGGACCTTGCTTTACCCAACGTTCCATGCAATACACTATATTATTGCAGTGATTTACATAACTTGCATGATTATGTAGTGATGCAAATGACATAAATTAATGCCAGTAAGTTAGGTCATCACACTGACCCATGTCATATTTAACAATCATTTATAAATTACAAATGTAACTTCCTCGTTTGTACACTAAAATGTTGTTTCATTGTAATTCGCTTTTTTTTTTTTTTGCCAACTTTAGTTTTTCCAAATTCACTTAACAATTCTAAATTTAGTCCCAACATATTTGCTTTGGAATAAAACTAAGAAAAAAATGGTGCACTCCAGATGATTTAGACTATAAACTCACATGATCTCTGGCCAGTTTTATTTATGAGCCA